ACATTCTATTGTATAAATGGATTCATATTTAAAATTAGAGAATGCGAGACAACCAAAAGCAGCTAGAACAGTGGTGTCTTGGTTGGGGGGGGGGGGGACGATGGTGCAATTCCTTGCCATGCGTTCTCACAGATCAGATGTGATTGAGTTTCGTTATACATGAGGGTTTCTAGTTGCACTATTTCAATGTGAGTGGTATGACACAGCTCGAGATGTTGGTTACAAGAATGATGGTCACGATATTGTATCTATTAACACAACACGAAAGTTTTGAACTGATGAGCCCTTCATTTAAGCTAGTCAAGCAATTCGAGTTTATTATGTGCAAGATGAATTTTTGTTACAAATAATCTTCCTCTCGTCACAAACAACTAACAATTATAACGCAATACGTGCTGTCACAAATGCAATTTTATGGGAAGAAATATCACTGATGACTATATAAATATCATTGGTAATAGCAAATATTTCTGACACATTAATGCTTCGTCAATAATATAAACATTTTATGAAAACATTTTACCGACGACAATCTGAAGTCGGCATAAATATATATGTTATGATGAACAATTTATTCTCATTAATAATAATGATTTCTTCCGACGAAGAATTTCATATTCGTCAGTAATATTCAATATTCCTGACCCAAAAAAAGAAATCGTCACAAATAATGACCTTTCGGAATTGAATCCATCATAAATTCCCAATTACTGACGAAACATCTATCAATTACCTACGTAAATGTAATTTGGTCAGTAAAACAGTGGATATACTGACGACATACGTTGTTCGTCAGCAATAGTGACTTTTTATGAAGCCAGTTCAGTGTCATCAGAAAGTTCTCGTCAAAACTGCCTGTCTTTTTTGTAGTGAATCAGGTGAATTTCTAGGTTTTTGTTGAGCTTGTATGGTTCAACTATTCACTCTGATTGACGTGACCAAAGTACGCAGCTTCAACGATCTTTTTATGATTTTCTGATGTCGCCTTTCTTGAACTCGAAAAATAAAGATAGATGCGGAATCAATCGGACAATCCCAACCGTGATGAAGGGCAATTGGTATATGAAACCAATCGGACAACACAAACTCGTGGAAAGGGGCAATTGATATAGGGTAGAAGCTCGCCACAACTAGACGCGTTCTCTAGTTGATAAGAGACACGTGAAACCTCTGGAGCACTCTCGACAGAAGCTTGCACAAAGAACCAGTTCGTTTGAACTTGAAACTTGAAAGTTGATTGATAATAGAATATTGGGTACCAAATTCGTAGGTTTTACACCCTCTATTTATAGAGGTCTCAAAAACATAAAACTAACCTAAAAGGAATAGGAAAACAAATCCCAAACTAACTAGAAAACATAATATTAATTAAATAAGGACTAAAACTACTAAGTAAACTCCTACATAATCAAAACTAGTAATCGTGCCCGCCCGTTGGCCGGCCGAGTTTTCTATTTCTTCTTGAAAGAAAGATTGAATTTGTGAAATATCAACATAATATGTGAAACAAAATTTTAACTAAGTTTTGTCATACATTCTTTTTAACTTCAACAATACCAAATTTATCATGGCAGAAGTAAAGTGTGTATATAAAATTAAAGAAGTTGACAATTGAGAACGAATTGGATAAACCAACTTCATGTTATAAAGTTACACATTGAAACTCCAATTGATCACCTTGCAGAATGGTAAGCATTAAGCAAAACGCAAATAAGAAACAATTTAAAAATCCACTCACTAACATTCCCATATATGAAAATTGACCTACTAAATATTGACCTTATATATAAATTTGCTTGGATTGGTCTAAAAAATTTTAGGGCAACAAATAGATGAGGTTCGTTCTTTATTGAAATAATATCGTTTGTTTGTAGACTTTTGATCTCTATCCATAAAAGGCTTTCACAACAACGGTTGACATCTTTTCGTTATTACTCTGTCAATATACATTTGAATAGTTTATTCTCGAATTTAGGGATGCAAATTTTGTGGTGTATGATCATTATTGCACTTATCACTATTTGTGGAAACCTTGGTAAGCTTTTCTTGTCTTGGTAAGCATGAGATTACATTTTATATCTATGGTACACAAATTGGAGCACATATTTTTGTTTAAATTGGGTTAAATCTATTGCTTTGGTATATAATTGGTGTTAATCTATGAAGAGGCCAAGTTAGAATTTATCTGGCAATAGTATCAAAAGCTAAGGAATCACCTAAAATTGGACCGCCGTGGAGTTTGGTTATTGGAATTGCATGAAACTTGTTTATGTATAATAGTTTATTGAATTCATATTTGGCAAAGCATTAGACAAATCGATAGACATACAGTTGTAGGAAGTTAAAGCCGGAGTTTAGGACTTTGCCACATACTACTCGCGGAACTGCAGTCTCAGGTACAATTCTTTTTTTGAGGTGGGTAATCATCAAGTCTACATCGGAGTAAATTGTACTGAATCGATATCTAGACTTAATTGAATAAGATTGAGTATATTTTGATTATTGATCCTACAAATTATCTTATTATGAAAGAGAATTGTACCGAAGTTGAAATTAACGCTAGATAAAATCGAACACAATGAACAAAACATACTTTTGGTCGAATTTTTGTCCTCAATTTTCCTTTGTACTTTGGTCACTCTTATCCAAATTCCATATAATTTGAACAAAACATACTTTTGATTTAGTTTTGGTCCTCAATTTTTCTTTGACCTATTTCCAATCTTATTTATATTCCTTAATCCGCATATCATTTCCATTACGCAATCAATATAACATAAGGACTAATCTACTAATCTTCCAGTACCAACTTATTGCTGATTCCAATACCAACATTATGCTTCTTCCCTTTCCACCAAACCCATTCACTTTTATCCTTCTATAATTACTTCATCACCCCGTCAATTTCCAAGATCATTCACCTACCCATATTTTGGATGCACTTCGCCCAAGCAATCCTGGAGTAGAGAGCGATGTTGTGGAAGATGGAGGGGGTAGAGGGAGAGGAATACTTACGGACCGGGAGAGGGAGAAGCCACAGACAACAATTGTTGATTTTCGGTCGGCATCAACTCCTAACTCGGTACGATTCACCAACAGCTATTCAGTTTTGAAAGTTGAATCAGTGACTGGAAAAAGAAGCAGCGGCGGAGGGATTTGTTGCTTCAGCGGCGACGGACTTATACGGAGATATTTTAGGGATTGAAGAAGATTTATTGACAGCTGGTGTTGCGGAGCAGAAACGTGGCAGCCTGGGTTGTGAGTGTGAATTGCGCTGGGAGCGGGTTGAGTAAATTACAGGGGTGTCCTCCCTAGCAATACGGGGTGCGCAGGAAGAGCTGACGTGGCAAAGGCTCTTTATTGACATTCGCTTATAGTATTTTGTAGATAAATAATTAAACAAATAAATATCCAAGTTACCGCACGCTGCAACGTTTTTCCTTTTGCCTTGCGGAATGAATTCCGGTCCGCCAGTTTCCGTAGCAGCTCCGCGTCCTTCTTTCCCTGTCCTTTGCGGAAACCTTCTCTTTGGCGGAATTGAGAATCTCGCCCACCAATTAATCCTTCCATCTTCACGAGAGCTTGCACAGACACATTCCTTTCTTGATCAATTGGAAATTAATTAAAGCAAACATATTGCTTTTCTTTCACGTGGCCAGCCAAAAATCCATGCATCAATAATTTAATCACCTAATTAGATCATGCATAATAACTTCTATGCATGTTAACGTGTAATGGTCAGCAGCTAGGAGCCAATTTATTCATCAAGAAAGCTCCCAATTGATACTTATATCGTCGAATTCGAATCTTCATTTTTGGACCCCGGGAATTAATTATCCCGCTTGTCGATATTGCATCACTGATCGTGGCCAAGCATCGACCCATACTTATCGAGCCTCTTTCCCTTCGTGAAAGTTGCACGAAAATTCCATTCACAAACACCAAAACAAACTCTGTTTTTGTGTTCTTGTTTGAAGGAGAACAATCCTTTGATTGCATTAATTCTCATCAAACAACCCCCTAGGGTTGTATTAAGGTAGGACAACAAAGTTGCTACAGTAGTATTCATTGTGGAACAAGAGAATCACATTAATGAAGTCTCAACAATTCAAATCAAGTTTCACACCCAAAAAAGATTTTTCAAGTTTACCTTTTTGTTTGTTGTTCCCCCAATCAATATATATTCATTGGTTAACATGTCGATTTTTATATGGATTGCTTCACCTTATTTCAATATATGTTTTCTCGATTCTTATTTAGCTGCATAGATGTTTCTATTCATCAAATGAGAGCTAGACCTGCATTTTTATTGTGTACTCCATATTCTCTTTTCTTTTCCATCTTAGTTGAAAATACTAGTTAAATTCTAATTAATCTTTTTGTTTGTTGGGCATAACAGATGCATAATCAATTACTTTTATATAATAACATAGATTCTTCTTACTCAATAGTGTGTAGATTCATAGCCATTCGCCGCAAGTGCAAATTGCTACAGTACTCTCTCACAATAACTATGTGTTTTTTCCTTTTCTTTTTGTAATAATGTTGTAAGTGTTACATTTTGTTAGATTTATCATAAAACATATTAAAAGTGTTATCTTACACTCGCCGCGAAACGCAAGCGAGCGGATTTATGTAGTAAACTAAAAACATTACATCAAGTTATGGTGGTGTTGAAAGAAAACAAAAAGATAGTCATCAGTTAACGAAAACAATGCATATCCTTAGAAGTTCCACCACCCAGATCGATCCAGAAAACAAAACCGAAAAAGTAAAATGAAGCCTGGTATCCGGCCAAAACCCCCAACAACAGCCACCTCATTGATTTCCCTTTCACATCAACTAGAATCAATACCCGCGGCTACGCCGCGAGAACTAAAGTTGCAACAACTTTATCATATTGAGTTCCATATTCAACCAGCACGATGGTTCTTTTAGTGTTCATGTCTGGCAAGCTAAGTAAGGGCAGAGAATAGGATAAACGGAAAAGAAGCACATATCAATTTGTAATTTGTATGCAAGCAAATTTGGATAGTGAAAAGTGCTCTTTCCAGCGATGAAACTCATTATTCAGACAAAATCAATATGGTTTTCTCAAAAACTTAAAACATTCCTGCTACGCAAGAAAGTACAGCAAACTGTTGCCAGAGGCTCAGATCGAGTCATGGTTGATAAAAACCAAGCAAGAAAGTACAGCAAACTGTTGCCAGAGGCTCAGATCGAGTCATGGTTGATAAAAACCAAACACAATACTGCATCATCTTATATTTTGAAGTAGGCTATATACATAGATATAATTGGCCATAATCTCGGACACCAGTCGCCCAATAAGTCATCTTTTTGCTAACAAACCCACTATCTTTTGGCTTGTTTGCAAGTCTTTCATGTGTTGATCTTTACTTCTGGGGCTGTATAGCTTAGAAATTACAGCAGTCCGTGCTGCCCCTGCTCCCCATGCTGGCATAGCCTCAATCTCAGAGCTACCAGGCACTCTTCTCATGTCATTCTGTCTACTTGCTGCCATTAGCCACCTTGCAATGGACCTGTAAATCAGGTAGGACCAATCAGTCTTTATAGAAGGCAATTTAATTTCAAACATAAACATGAGGAAGTGATTACTAAATAGCTCTTAAATGCGGACACTAAGTCCTATTGACCTTGATGTAGTCCAGAAACAGTTGCAGCAAAGAATCGTTAGTTCTGTGAAAGGCTAACGGTATGGTCATCAAGATAAGCACAAACTTACCATCTAAAAGAAATGGCATTCTTATGCTTCAGCCATTGAATGACTTCCATTGGGGAGGCTCTGTGATAGATACACTGTGTTTGAAAAACAGAATGCACTTAATCCAACAGAAAAGAATAACCACCTAGCACTTTAAAAAGTTCAACCAGCATTGTGAAAAGGCAAAGGAAACACCAACATGGAAAAAACACTCCATCGAAAGCAAAGCATACCTTTAAAGCAAGCTTCTTCAACTTATTTGTATCTCTAACCTTCTTCATCCTAACCAAACGCACTGCCAATTGGCTTATCAGAAGCAACCTAATAAGCAAAACTGAACAACTTTCAAGATGACAAAGAGAAATAACAGACTGAGGGTCTCAATTGGAACGACACTGGAACGAAATAATCAAAACCGAACAGGAGTGGTGATGGTTTTAGAGGAAATTTCAAAAATTAAAAGCAAACAACAATCGATTAACCCACCACAGAATATGGAAATCTTAACTAATGGTTGGACCTGAATTTGCCGGTCCTCAACGCTCTTTTCTTCATAGTTAGCTTGGTCCAAACCTACAAAATGAAGCCTTTGAGTTGAGAGAACCAATCAACAAACTAAAACAAATCTGTAAGGATTAAACTGTCCTCAAGAACTGGTTTTTTTAGTCATAGCAAAATCCAAAAAACCACCCTCTTACCAAACACCAAAAACCCATAAATTAAAGTATAAACGATTCCTTTTAGAAAACAGAGGAGCCGTGAGGGAGATGGAAATTGAATATGGTACCCACTATTTCATAGCATCTCCAGTACAGGCATCAAACTCATTGAGAGGAGGGCGTCTCGAATCGCTTAAAAGACTTGCCTACTTCAACACCATAGTTTACTTGCTCACCTCCTTCCTTCCGTTGCAAACTTGTTGATCCCCGTTTACATCCATTCACTGCCAACTGCTTGATCCCTGCAAAGGAAGAAATCCTACATTTACCATCTAAAACCAGAGAGTAGGAGGGAAAGAACTCTACTGGCAAAATGATCTGAAAATATCGATCAAGATGCCGAGGGCATGGATCTTTCACAGCTGTAATTGTTTTTAACCAAAATATATACAACAATAAATCTTAGTAATAATGTTGTCGTAAGTTTGTTTTCTGTTTTGCTCCTGCTGCTGTGAGTGTTTGCTAGTGCCTCTGCAATTTGGCTTTTGCCTCCTCATTAATAAAAAAAAATGTATTTGAGTTGTATGAAGCAGCTACACATGATAAAACAGTTGGAATTGGGAATAGAAACCGTAGCAGTTGAGTAAGTGGAATTTAGCATTCGCTTTCCAGAAACTATTAACCACGGCATGGAAAACAAAGAAAGTAGGAGACAGCAATAACTTGCCTATAAGTTAGGAAGTTAAACCAGTTACCATAAGCAATAAAGAATTCGACTGACATAGTAAACACAGATTCAGTGAACTCACCCGCAGGCGTTCTTCGGAGGTGAAATCCTTGCACATAAGAAACTTCCCTGAGCGCAGATTTTCACTCACCAATTTGCGACGCGCATTTCACCCAACTGTAATCGTCCCCGTGACGGCAAGGATTTCCAGTTATCCATGTGTGTAGGAGACCCAATTTGAGGGCTGTGGCGGTGACGGGAAGAAAGAGAAGCAAAAGAATAGAATGAGAGGTGGAACCGAAGAGGACAATTTGGGCGAGAAGAAAGCAATTTTCTCCGCACAGAGCTAAGGAAAGCAAGCGGCGCAGAAATTATGGGCGGTAGCGTGAGCGAGGCTGTGAGCAGAGTTAAGGGAGTGGGGAAATTGGGGATAGCAGAATGGAATGGTGAAGAGATAGACATGACCGAGCACTGACCAGTGAATGCTTGATTTCGGGAGGTAATTGACAGCAAGAAAGGTAACGCCACTGTAGCGCTGACTGTGTAGTATGGTCGGTGACTTGCGTTTGCTGGACTGAGGATAACGCCGAGGGGAAGGGCAAGAGGGATATGGGGTGAAAAAGTGCTTTCGAGGAGCTTCTCCACTGCTTTGGCGCTAGTCGTCAAGAATTGAAACAGTGTATAGGGTCTTTGGGGTGAAAAAGCGTACCCCGCTTTCATGTTTTACAAGAATCTTTGTTCATTGTTCTAAGTTTGGAGATATCTATCTTTATTTGAACTTTCTTCTACATTTTCTATAGCTGGGAATGGTGTCGGCCGTTACCCAGATAAATACTTTGACTTGTAACTAAATTGTTTCCCCTCCCATCCCGGCTATATATACATCCACGTACATCTCTCTGAATTCCTTCATCGATCGTGCCTTCCTTCTTACAACACTACAACTTCAATTTTATTCCATTCCCAAGTAACGAGATACAACAAACATGGCTGCTGCCTTGTTAAAGATGATCGCTTTGTTCGCTCTGTCTACCCTTCTGATCCTTAACGGAGCACTCGGCGATCTAATGTGCGAGGAGCTTCCAGTAGAGCTATGCGCCTACGCAATCAACAGGGCAGGGAAGAGATGCGTACTGGAGAACTACGTGGCCAGGAAAGGGATGGTGAAGTACCAATGCAAGACATCGGAAGTGGTTGTGGAGACGATGAGCGAATGGATCGAGACGCAGGCATGCCTCAACGACTGCGGCCTCGACAGGAAGGCCGTCGGGATCTCTTCTGATTACCTCCTCTCCCCCAACTTCGTTGCCAAGCTCTGCTCCCAGCCCTGTTTCAGCTATTGCCCCAACATCCTCGATCTCTACTCCAACTTGGCTCAAGCTGAAGGTAACATATTATATGCATAATTACTTACCTATAAGTCCCTGCTATGTTCTAAACCAGACGCTGAAAATATTACGAATTAATTATATTTGTTGGTGTGACTACTGCAGGAATGAACTTGCATGATATCTGCAGCAGGGGAAATGCTGTTTCTCGTCGCGCATTGTACATTCTGCCCAAGAGTTCAGGCGGTGTTGATGGTGGTGCTGCAGGAACTGCTGGGGAAGGAAATGGAGCAATTGGAAGCCCAGTCGGTTCTCCTCTGTCTTCCCCTGCTTTTCCTTTTGCGGATGATGGTTCTACTACTGCATTTGCTCTTTCGCCCGACAGCTTCTGAGAGAGGGATGTATTTACGGACTCTATTTCAATATCATTTCTCATGTACATATGTATCTTTTTGGAACAACTTTGGGTCTTCTATTTCGATTGAATTACATATGTGATACTTGTTATGTGATGATTATGATGATCTTTATTGATAATTCGAGTTTTGCCCTAATAAATTGGTTCAATTCTTCTTGCACACCAAGATGTTAATTTTGATCGAAAGAGCCTATATAACTGTTTTTGTTAACAAAAAAACAAAAGGTAAATTGTGTACAAGAAGAGCCAACACTGCTTTAGCATTTGTGTTGATGTGACTTGAATCGGACTATCAGCCGCTACGACTGGTAATCGGGGTCTCGCTGCCCGGTCAGCGAGTGGGGTCCAGGGGCAACGCCCCGGTGGGGGTGCGGGGGAAACGCCCCCGGCCCACAGTGTATGGGCTCAATGTTATTTGGGTTCGGGTTCTGGGCCTGGTCTGTAACTGTTTCCTTTGTCAGATTGGATTAGGTTTAGACCCACATGGAGAAGTACTATAAATACTTCTCATACTCCTCTGTAATCTGTAATCTCCTTGATATAGTGAAACTGGCTCTCTCTCGCCCGTGGACGTAGCTAACACACAACGTGTTAGTGAACCACGTAAATCGTGTGTCTGTGTTTTTCGATTCTCGCTTTCGTATTCTTGCTTTGTCGATTCCAGCGATTTCCCGATCCGTAGCAGCGCGTTTATAAAAAGTGGTATCAGAGCCGCGGCTGGAAATCAGGCTAGGGTTTTCGATTCAGAAGAATGACGTCGGTGAACATGAAGATCGAAAAGTTCACAGGAAAGAACAGCTTCGCTATATTGCAGATCAAGATGCAGGCTTTATTAAAACAGCAAGGGCTGTGGGGGCCGCTGTCTGCGAAACAGAAGAAGGCAGCGGTCGATGACGATGAGTGGAATACTCTGGAGGAGAAGGCCCACTCGACCATCATGCTATCGTTGTCTGATGATGTCATCATTGAAGTCGCTGCTGAGAAGACTGCTGCGGGCTTGTGGTTGAAACTAGAGAGTCTGTACATGACTAAGTCTCTAACCAACAAGCTGCATCTCAAGCAACGGTTGTTCAGCTTGAGGATGCACGAAGGTACGCCTTTGAGGGAACATCTCGAACAGCTTAACTCTATTTTGCTGGACCTGCGTAATATAGATGTTCAAGTTGATGACGAGGATGCTGCCCTAATCCTGCTGGTTTCTTTGCCGAGTTCATATGAGAATCTCGTTGATTCTTTTATTGCTGGTAAAGAAAGCGTGTCGTTGGAGGATGTCAGGTCTGCTCTTCATACGAGAGAGATCAGACATAAGGCGTCTGGTTCTGGTATAGGTGGTGAGGCATCGGGTTTGGACGTTACAGGTGGAAAGGGAAAGAAGAAATCTGGTAAAGGGAATTCGAACAAGAATTCCAAGGGTCCTGGTCCACAGCCAGGTGATGCTTGTCACAACTGTAAGGAAGTGGGGCATTGGAAGTACAACTATCCCAAGAGAAGAGGGCAATAGAAGAAACAAGGTTCAGTTGCCGTGGCAGAAGTGGACAACAGTTCTGAAGACGATCTCGCCTTGGCTGTAGATGAGAAGGCACATCGTGGGGATGTGTGGTTTCTGGATACTGCAGCCTCATACCATATGTCTCCGAACAGGGATTGCTTCACAACCTACGAGCAGATAGATGGTGGTAACGTGGTCATGGCTAATGGAGCTGTCTGCAAGGTTGTTGGAATCGGGTCCATAAAGGTTCGAACACATGATGGTTCGTTCTGTACCGTGAATGATGTCAGGCATGTTCCACGAATGACAGAGAACCTGATATCCTTGAGTCTACTCGACAGCAAGGGTTTCAGCTTCAAAGGAAAAGGTGGAGTTGTGTATGTCTGCAAAGGTTCAAGGAAGGTGCTGAAGGGCGTGAAGCGTGGGACCATGTATGCATTACAAGGGTCTGTGTTGTCTGGTTCTGCTGTAGTTGCATCGTCTCAGGTTCATCAGGAAGATATGACCACTCTCTGGCACATGAGACTGGGGCATATGAGTGAACGGGGGATGCAAGTTCTGTCGAAGAGGGATCTTATTTGCGGGCACAAGGTGCCGGATTTGGAATTCTGCGAGCATTGTGTGTTTGGGAAGCTACATCATAGCAAGTTTCCTAAGAAGGGTATTCACCGGACGAAGGGGATACTGGATTACCTCCACTCCGACTGTTGGGGTCCTTCACGAGTTGAATCCATTGGAGGCAGCAGGTATTTTCTGTCTATTATTGATGATTATTCGAGATTTACTTGGATTTTCATGATGAAGCAGAAAAGTGAGGCTTTCACGAAGTTCAAGCAGTGGAAGACATTGGTGGAGAATCAGACTGGGAAGAAGATCAAGAAGCTGCGAACGAACAATGGTCTTGAGTTCTGTAATTCTGAGTTCAACGAATTCTGCAAGGATGAAGGGATTGCCCGTTATCGAACAGTGAGAGATACACCCCAGCAGAATGGCGTTGCATAAAGGATGAACCAGACATTGTTGGAGAGAGCACGATGCATGCTCTCTAATGCTGGACTAGAGAGAAGATTCTTGGCAGAAGCAGTGAACATGGCGTGCTTCCTGATCAACCGTGGACCTCACACATGTATCGAGTTGAGGACTCCTTATGAGGTGTGGTATGGTAAGCCTGCTGATTACTCTTCACTGAAAGTTTTTGGGTGTCCTGTTTATTATAATGTGGATGAGGGTAAACTGAACCCAAGGGCAAAGAAGGGTGTATTTGTGGGTTACGGAGATGGAGTTAAAGGATTTCGAGTATGGTCACCTTCTGAGCATCGAGTTATACTCAGTAGAAATGTG